GAGCACTTACAGAAATACTTGAAAAGATACCCCACTCACAGAAGATCAGTCAGCTACTTGTACCCCAAAGTTTGGGTCTAGGATATCAAAGCCTAATTTACTTTGAAGCTGGTTTACCAGATTATGACATAATAAACTTTACTTACTTCAAACATTTTATTTGTGATGAATTCATGGTCACGGAGGCGCTCAAGGAATGGAAATGTCTTTCTTATTGCACATGAAATCTCCACCTTATGTCTTTTGAAGTGACTGAATATACGGTCATAGATAAGCCTGTCCTCTACATTCTGCTCTTCTGTGGCCATCCTAGGGAAAGAGGATACCATGTAAAAACAGTCATCAAGATTCCAAGATGTTTGTGGAGGATGTAAGATTTTATATATAAACAATAGGCTATGAAGAACCAACATATATAAAATAGGTGGTCCTGAGTAGAGGCGAGAGTAAATGGAATTGAAGCAACAAACAAAGATGAAATAGAAGAAAGCATGAAAGTTATGAACAACTAATATATAGGACTGAAAAATTCCTGTCCATCCTGATCAAAACCATTGTAAATATCTCTTTAACTAAACATAACTGAAATATTTTTGAATTAAAAAATCTAAATTCCTACAAAGCCAAGATGGAGTAAACAGGTCATTCATAGAGAAATGAAAAACAATGGTATAAAAATAAAATACAACCTTGAAAATGCATCTTAACTAAAAACTAAGAGAAAATAAATCTCAGAAAGATGAAAAACAACATCAGAACGATAAAAACAAGCTGTTAAAGAAGAAATAATATCCTATATCATGAAATTGATTCATAAATAATATTATGTAGTTTAATAATGATAATGATATGATAAGGTATAAATGGAGAATTTCATGAAAATATCAATGATATCTCCTGGGACATCTGATTCTGCTTTGTGTTAATATAAATTTCTTTGTGCTATTGTTATATATAGTGAATCTTTTTAGGCATCTGAATTTCAGAAATTGCTGCTGTTTCCTGTGAAAGTAATTTTAAACCTGAGTCTATAATTCTGGCTCTTAGTTGATCACTTTATAGCTATGATAATGTTTGAATCAACATCTCTATATTCCTAAATGCTATGACAACTCTTATGAGCTTTCTTTGTCAAACCAGAAGGGAATTATCAGCACTTCCCAGTACCCTAAATGCAGCAGGGAATAATAATGCCACATTATTGTTTTTTAATTTCTGTAAAAAAAAAGTTTCTGGTTAAAGTTTGGAGATTGAGGAGAAGCACATCTTCTCTTTTATTAAAGACTCCACTAAAATGCTAACAAAGGAATTAGATTTACAATGACAAAGAGAATTTTAGAGAACAATGAGTAGATGAAAAGTTTCAACCAGAGGAGAGACTTGCTATTGTAGGTGGAGGATGCTCCCAGGGATCAGGAAAGCAATTAGTGTGCCCTGCAGAACTCTGAAGAAGCAGTGGAGATTTAGAGGGAGATGCAGGGCTAAAAATTGATGTGTTATTTGAAAAATGAAGAACAGAACAGTGCATCCCCTGCCTGTCAACGCCCATGCTGACTACATGCAGCCAGGTAGCCTCTCGGGGGCAAACATTGCTGTCATTTCTTTCATCACGTTAATACTACCTGTTTTTGGATTTCACATAAATGGAATAATATATAATGCATGCTTTTGTGTCTGTCATTTTTTTGCTCATCACCCATGTTGTTGCATTGAAGAGCAGTTTGGTCCTTTTTTATTGTTGAGTAGTATTCCATTTTGTGAATCTA